TCATCGACGGGCACCGCATACCGGCCCTCAAACAGTACCTGTCCATCAAGAGTGAGGTATTTAGGGGTATGTTTACCAATGGCTTCAAAGAGACTGCGGACAGGGAGGTAGTGGTTGAGGATACCAGTGCCGAGGCGTTCAAAGTGATGCTGAGGTATATGTATTGCGAGCGACTGGTGCTCCCCGAGGGACAAGACTTCCAGCTCATACACCACGTGCTAAAACTCGCCGATTATTACCAGTTGTTTAGACTTATAGACAGCTGTGAACGACATTTAATCGCCACTATAGGTATGGTATGTAAAAGTGAACATGATCATTTATTTATTATTAATTAAGAATATATTTTTGGCTAGTTCAAAATATTATATTTTCAAAATAAATGTTAACATTTAAATCTACTAACATTATTTTTTAAATAATTCCTAATATTCTAGATGTTTACATTTATTTTGATAGATTTACATTAATTTAATTGTTATCATGGTCCACATTTGACATTTGTGTCCGACAAAGTCAGATGGTGTCAAATTCAAAATAAAATGTATTGCAATTAACTATTATAGATAAACTTTTCAATAGTCTTAATAATAGACTTTATAGTTTGTTGTCATGTATTATACTGGTATTATTATTATTTTTTATGATCACATTTGACACTTTCTGTTTATGATCTAATAATAGTTTGTAGACTTTATTATCAATAGTTTGTTATAATATATTTATATAATTATTTTTATTATTATGACATTTAACGACATTATGGATTCCATACTATACTCATACACTGGAATACTTCATAGGGCATATAAGTCTAGTGTATGGCTCATACATATAAGAATGGAATTTCATTATACATATCATATAAATACTTTGTACCCAAAGTTTGAGTTCCAAACTTTATAACCAAAATGAATGTATTATAGCATTTGAAACAGTTTTCAAGAATTCAAAGTTATATTTTAGAAAAAACATAAATTCATTCTAAACAGTGCTATGAAACTGCAATTTTAAAAATATTTGAATAAAATCTATTATAACTAAATACTAAAAATTTCAAGTATTACAGTCATTTAAACACTAAAAATGAAATAATTTTCATTGAAGTGTTAGACATTGATTAATTCATAACAATTATGATACTTTTTAAGCACCGCTATGAACATAAACATTAATTCAAAGGTTGCCGACATTCACTGCATTGCCTAACACTCGGAGTATTAGCACTGTTTAGAGTTAATTCATTTTTGTCGACTTTAATTCATACACTCACCAGGGTATTCAACGGATAATATTAATACTATTGATTATAAAAATATTTTTCGATACATATATATTTCATCTTTTCTGTACATTTGGTGTAATTTTTACTGAAATATTAAATAAGAATATATCATAAGATTTATACAATTTCCTAAAATAATTCAAAAAAAACTATAATAATACAAAACTGATGCTAATTTTATAACTACTTAATAATTGTTTCAAACTGTAATTATATTTATAATATCCATAAAAATTAACTAAATTAATAATTAAGTAATTTATGGAAAGAAAATGAGTCAAAACTTATATTTTTCAATTTGTAAACTATTATTAAAAAACAGAAAGCATACTGTAGTTCAAATTGTATCAGGATCTAAACCTAAATATGTGATCAAGTTAGTGAATCTAATTTGCTATGGTTAGTAGCAAGGGTCTATTCTTACTAGATTTATTAAAATTTATTAAAATATATGTAAAATAACTATAATTCTGAAGTTTTAATTGAAAACTGTAATTGTATTTAAATTATATAAATAAATTAATTACAAGATTTATTAATAAATTATTTGGGAAGGGTATCAAAAGAAAATTATATTTTATCAAAATCAAATCTCAACAAAACTTAGGAAGCATAAATATAATTTATTTAATAAGTGGTTGACCATTTGATTAAATTATAATTAATAATAAAGTTGATATATTTTCATTAATTGATTAAAAATAATACAAAAATCTAATCCCAAAGGACTGGAAAATGTGGAGATCATCGCCCGGTTAGCCAATGACTATCGGATGTCGGACTTAATATCCGTTGTGAAGGCATTTCTGGACACAAACTTCAATCACTTCCTGTCCTCCAGAGACCAGTCGTCTCTCAACTCGTTGAACACATCCACTGATAACCTGTTCTTCGAGATTATGACCAAAAACTTTCGCAAAACTAAACTATTTTTTGAACCCATGACTAAGACCCGGACCTATTGTGCCGGCGCTAAGAACTCATACGGATATCAGGAGTCATCCCATTATTACTATACCCCCGATGCGGGCCAGTACTCAACATTCAGTTTCGATAAACTACATGAGTCGTAAGGGCTGTTCAAAAAGTGCGTACAACAATTTTTTAAACTAAATGAGCCCTCTACATAAACTATTTGAAAAGATATTTACTTTGTGCATACTTAATGAATATCCCCATTAATAATAATAAATCGGACAATTTTTCACATAATTATAAAACGTTCACATTTATTAGTTTTTATAATTTTAATTATAATAATAAATTTAAATATTTTTTGATAGTATTCTTGGCAATTATTATTGATTACAATACAGTATTTATAATGTGTTTTAAATTAAGCTCAAACACAGTATTCGTATGGAAAACAATTTGTAATGATTATGAAAATTGTAATAAAACTTATTATTTTACTTATTATATTATTCACACTAATTATGTATTATAATTGGGTTTTAAATTAACAAAAATTTTACTCATGATTTGCATAATTATTATGCCATAATAGTTGCTTGATTATATCAATATAAGAATTAAAAAGTAGTAAATTGTAATACAATTAAAAACCTAAAATTCAAAAACTATTTTGCGTTTTAAGAGTATTTTGTATCAAAAAAAACTTATAATTAAAAACACGATTTAAATTAACAGTAAAAAACTTCTCATAATTATTACAAAATTAAACATAACTTCAAAATTAAATTACAAAAAACGATTCACACGTTTAGCTGATAGCACTTAAGTCTGAGATGAGTGGACAGGTAGGACATGGCGTTTGTGGAGAACACGCACTTCTTGCAGACATACTCATGACTTTTGTCCACAATTTTTACCTCAAAATCGGGTCTCATTTGACGAAATCTCTCCAATTGTTTCATACTTTCGTGAAATGCGCGCCGAGAGTACGACAACACGCCTTTCCCTTTGAAATCAGACACCAGATCCCTTTCCACCACCACATCCTCCTTGTCCTCATCAGTGGTATCACTGGAATTGGTGTCACTTTCATCACCACTGGACTTACCGCTCATTTCACTATCGCTTTCATCCGAAGTCTTATCATTAGTTTCCGATCTCTTAGTCCTTTTGATCACTAGTTTCAGTGTATTATCACTCTTGGGATCTCTGGATTTCTTGACTTCAGACACTTTATATGTGTAGTCATTATCACCGGACACTTGATCGCCGGTCTGTTGACCAGAATCCGATGGTTGTGGACACGAATCGAGGTTTTGTGGCAAAACTTTGTCCACTTCTTCAGCGGTCTTATCGCCAGACTTACAATCAGTTTCATCGACTGTGTCGACAGTTTCACTGAACACTGGAGTTGTATTAACTGATCCCTTATTGCGATCACAAAATGTCTTTTTATGGTTAAGTTTGGGATCAGTTTTAAAACACTTTTGGCTCGCCTTTGACTCCAACTTCGGGATCAGCTCTGAATCTGACGACATCTTATGACACAACTCATTGTCCGCCACTTCGGGTACCGACTCATCGCTCACTTTATCTGACACGTGAGGCATAGACCGGAAATGGAGGCCAATATGTGAGACCATGTATTCCTCAACAACGGTGACACAGTCACAGCCGCCACAGAAGTACCACTTTATGCCGTCTATGACTTTCGTGACGTAAAAGTCCTTGATATCAATGGGTTTGCCGCACTTGTCCGGTGAGGTAGACATCACTTTTACCGGTAGGTCTTGGGATACACGGCGTTCATACAGTTTAAAGTGGCCTTCAGGGGACAGGTCATCACTAGACGTGCCTTTGGAGGTAATGTCGACGCTGTCCACGGAGTCCATGTCCCCAATATTGGTGTCGTTGAGATCATCATTGGGTTTATCACATGTGTCTAGAGTAGTAGTAGTAGTAGTAGCCGTCCCTACCGTTCCAGTCACTGGCAGTGAATCTGAGGCACAGTCGCTGTCTTCATCTGTATATAGACAAGTAGCACTTCGGATACACATCCCGTTCCCATACACAAAATCACTAGAAACAGAGGTATTATTCGTGGCGTCGGCATCCATGTCCTTTCTGTCCACTGACTCACACATCTTGAGGTAAACCGGTTTTTCGCAAAACTCTTGCTTAATGGCAAATATTGGCACCGGTAGTACATCCTGGGCGCACATACCGGTGTTGTTCGCAAACGACTTACGAGCGGTCATCTCCTCATCACTCACACAGCCTTCCCCTTCGACTTTAATGTAATCCGTGTCCACTTCTGTCTCATCTGAATCCCTGTCCATTACATCGCATTTCACATCAGGTTTGGTGTCGCAGTCGATGGGTTTGGGATGTTTGGCGTCGAAGGCTCTGATCATAGCATCTATACTGGGATTGTCCTCCAGTAGGTGTTCCCTCGACTCCCACGTGTTGTGCTTATGTCCATAGCCCCACCATTTGACCAGATACTCGGTGATGTCGTCTCGTCTGTCGAGTATTTTCTCTAAGACTAGTTTGTCGTCAAACCTAGGATTGTGGACAGGGAGGGAAAGGTATGTTACAAAATATGTTACTGTTATAGTTTATGAACGTGAGGTTGCTATAGTGGACTAACTTATAAGTGTCACTCATCGTAGACTGTAATCAGCACTTCAGACATACAATAGAGTATTCAATTAAATAATATTAATGCTAATTAAGTATACTCATTAAATTATAAGTATCAATTATATTTATATATTTATAAAGCTAATATTACAGTTTTTGCTAAGTAATTATATACGCTATTTGGGATTTAGTCGTTTGTTGTATGTTATGATTCATATAATGTTAATCATATTCTGGGTATATCTTAGGTATCATTTTACTTTATTATTATAAAGTATTGAATAGCTATTAGTTTATAATAAACTAGTTTTTATTTATATAATTTTAAAGTGTTATTAAATTAATATATAACTTCCTAGATATACACTCTATTATAAACTGAAAATAGGGGAAAATTTATAATGAATGTTAGTTAATGAAATAAAAAGTTACATTAAATTTTGTTATATAAACTTACGAGTTTAGTTTAATATTATTATGCTTGGTTATAGTGAACACAAAGGTATTCGAGTTTTAAACAAACTATTCTAGGAAAATTAACTTTTCAAAAACTTATTTTCATTTCAACAAAATGTTACAATTTTATAAGTTTTAGCACTGGATTCGGTGTAATCATCCAAATGTTAACCACATTTCACAGTCAAAACAGTGGCCATAAATGTATAGACTTTCACTAGTGAGTGGCTATTCTCAGAGGTCTGACCCTACATATAACCCTAGGGGTTGGGGTTGGGGAGGTGGTAGTGGGGGTCAACATGTGTAACAAAATTCCTGGGATGAGCCTACTGTCCCTCACTNATATTATCACTAATTTATCGTTAAAACATTTACAGTATTATTGGCCATTGCCATGGCCATGCGCCAGCTAAAATTAAAAATATTTTATTGAAATTAAACATAAATAAAACGTAGCAAACATTTAGTATTTATAATAATTTTGTATGTGACTAATTTTGAAACAATCTTACTTTATTTAAATAATATGGGAGTTTGTAGTCTATCATCCCTGTCCACCCTATTGTGAGTTTGTGTGCATCCAATGTGCTGTCTATCTAATCCATGGCCACCATAATTAACTCTATTATCTGATATACAGTACTGTAGTTGACTATCATATAAAAAAGTTTTAACAAAAAGTTTACCAAACCTATTGCATTACACTGTATATTGATATCAATACAATATAATATTTATATAACAAAAAGAAAATTATATTTTTCTATGTATTATATACAATAGTATGTCATTTATTATTTTAAAAATCCTAATATTATATTTCAATGACAAGTCTTTTCTTAAATATTGTATACAAAAAACGCATGTATTTTACGGTACAGTAGTTATGATATCGCTCAGCATACCATGACCAAGGACAGTTATGTCACTAACATACACACAAAACATATGTATTTTGAGTGGAAGGGGATCATCCATTCCCCTATCAGTCAACACAAGTATTTAAGAAAGTCCTAAACAAAGAGATTTTGATTTTAAATAAATTATTTTAAGTAATATTTGCAATCATTTTGTGTCTCGACTTGTATTTCGTGTTTATAAACACCATTAAATCAATGGCTAATCCAGTGTCAGGACATCCCGGTGCTGATCAAGTGAGTTTGTTATTAAATTACCTAATATATTAATACCGGAAAAACACTTAAAATTATGTGGTCTTGCTAACATAAAAATACATTTATTAACAATGTTCTAGTGTATTTACTATTACTACTGTAAATAATACCTTTTCAATAATTTTTAAATCATAAAAGTTAGACAAAATAATTTTTGTTATGAATTATGACTTACGATAGTCAGCGCCGGTAACCATTGACAGTACCTCCGACCACAAAGGCCTCCGGTTCCCGGAAATGGATTACTATATGGACGAGTCTCGGAGTGATGTCATATTTCTCATCGACGGGCACCGCATACCGGCCCTCAAACAGTACCTGTCCATCAAGAGTGAGGTATTTAGGGGTATGTTTACCAATGGCTTCAAAGAGACTGCGGACAGGGAGGTAGTGGTTGAGGATACCAGCGCCGAGGCGTTCAAAGTGATGCTGAGGTATATGTATTGCGAGCGACTGGTGCTCCCCGAGGGACAGGACTTCCAGCTCATACACCACGTGCTAAAACTCGCCGATTATTACCAGTTGTTTAGACTTATAGACAGTTGTGAACGACATTTAATCGCCACTATAGGTATGGTATGTAAAAGTACACATGATCAGTTATTTATTATTAATTAAGAATATATTTTTGGCTAGTTCAACATATTATTTTTTCAAACTAAATGTTAACGTTTAAGTCTACAGTATAAACATTACTAACATTTTCAAATATTGTTTTTAAAAATACTTCTCAATATTCTAGATGCTTACATTTATTTTGATAGATCTACATTAATTTAATTTTTATCATGGTCTACATGTGACATTAAAATTTTATGTGTCCAGCAAGGCCATATGGTGTCAAATCCAAAATAAAATGTTTTTCTATTAACTATAGTATGATATTATAGATAAATCTTTTCAATAGTCTTAATAATAGACTTTATTACTAATAGTTTGTTGCCATGTACAGTATTAGACAGGTATTATTATTTTTTTTATGATGACATTTGACACTTTCTGTTTATGATCTTAATAATACTTTGTAGACTTTATTACCAATAGTTAGTTGTCATGTATTTATATTATTATTTTTATTATGACATTTCACGACACTATGGAATTATATACTATACCCTTACACTGGACTAATTCATAGTAGTCTGTCCAATTGAAGCTAAGCCATACTCCCGTTCCCTCCCGACAAATTTTTAAGACTCCCGTTCCCTCCCGACTCCCGACTGATCGCTGATCGGGACTCCCGTCTACTCCCGACTACTCCCGACATGCTACAAAATACTAAAATAAAATCTATTTTTGCTTTGTGAACCAAAATATGTGATAAAGTTAATAAATCTAATTTGCTATTGTTAGTAGTAAGGGTATATTCTTACTGGATTAATTAAAATTTATATAAAAATAGCTATAATTCTGAGGTTTTAATTTTAAACTGTATTTATATTTAAAATATATAAACAAATTAATTACAAGATTTATTAATAAATTATTTGGCATAGACACCAAAATATATGATTGAAAATTATATTTTATAAAAATCATATCTCAACAAAACTTAGCAAGCATCGATATAATTTATTTAATAAGTGGTTTACTATTTAATTAAATTATAATTAATAATAGTTTATATATTTTCATTAATTAATTAAAAAACTAATACAAAAATCTAATCCCAAAGGACTGGAAAACGTGGAGATCATCGCCCGGTTAGCCAATGACTACCGGATGTCGGACTTAATATCCGTTGTGAAGGCATTTCTGGACACAAACTTCAATCACTTCCTGTCCTCCAGAGACCAGTCGTCTCTCAACTCATTGAACACATCCACTGATAACCTATTCTTCGAGATTATGACCAAAAACTTTCGCAAAACTAAACTATTTTTTGAACCCATGACTAAGACCCGGACCTATTGTGCCGGCGCTAAGAACTCATACGGATATCAGGAGTCATCCCATTATTACTATACTCCCGATGCGGGCCAGTACTCAACATTCAGTTTTGATAAACTGCACGAGTCGTAAGGGCTGTTCAAAAAGTGCGTACAACAATTTTTAAAACTAAATGAGCCCTCTACATAAACTATTTAAAAAGATATTTATTTTGTGCATGCTTAATGAATATCCCCATTAATAATAATAAATCAGACAATTTTTCACATAATTATAAAACGTTCACATTTATTAGTTTTTATAATTTTAATTAAAATAATAAATTAAAATATTTTTTGATAGTATTCTTGGCAATTATTATTGATTACAATACAGTATTTATAATATGTTTTAAATTAAGCTCAAACACAGTATTCGTATGTAAAACAATTTGTAATGATTATGAAAATTGTAATAAAACTTATTATTTTACTTATTATATTATTCACACTAATTATGTATTATAATTGGGTTTTAAATTAACAAAAATTTTACTCATGATTTGCATAA